GACATTGTAATTAATGAGGACAAAGAGCTGCTGTGCTAAAAGTAGGATACGAGGTCTAGGTTCTTTCAGTAGGTTTCAAGCTACTGGAGGGTGATGGGGGGTGGGAAATGGGGAGACAGGAGAAAGAAGAGAAAGGAGAACTGGGGAAAGGGACTGTAGGATGTTTTTCATCTGATGCTCAAAAATAAATAAAATAATAAATTAAATCAAGGAACATTTTTATCACCTTTGAGAAAATTTCAGCGAGCTCTGCCCGGAAGTGAGAAGCCTTCTTGAAGCCCTCACATTAGCTGCCTTCCAATGGCTCTAAAGCCCAGTCTGACAGAGGCTTATTGCACAGGTGTAACTTTCCACTTTCAGAATGGTCCCATTGACTTTTCTGGCATTGCTCACAGTGCATAGAATTAGGTGGATACATAAGCCCTGGTCTGATCAGGACTCTAGAGGGAGTTAGTTAAGATTACCCCAGCATGCACAGGGTTCCTTACACGTCTTGCCGTTACTATAGAAAATAACACACAGAGGGAGGTACATACAGAGGGAGGCAACATTACCCTTTTTTTTTTTTTAAAGGCAAAAACAGCAAGTTTTTATTGGTAGCCACTACATATGGCTTGCTCTGCTGTTGATGGCTATTAGCTAGAAGCACAAATGCACATTCCAAAAATTCTCATTCCAAATGATGCATGGCAAAAAGCCCTCTGTTCATTCACATCAAGCCATTTCCACAGTAAAAAAAATTAAAATCACAGAGTTAAACAAAAGTCAAGTTTCCACGTGTCTGAGTATTTCTGTTGATTGAACTGGCTCCTAGCTTTGGTTGTGACACTAGTTCCCTTGGTATTTTAAAGGCTCTTTACTCCACCAAGTGGTTGATCACTTCGGTGCACTTCTTCCACCAGCTAAAGAAAGGGATACTGTACATTAAACAGACGAACATGCAAAAGGTCAGCACCCATCATAATAGCCACAAACCACCTGGAGATGTGCATGGGTTCAGATAAAAAATATGCTTCTGTACTCCCCACCACCCAGATCTCTTCCTGGGCCTTACCTGTAACCAAAGGCACTCACTGGATTTTAGGTCATCTGGAAACTGGATTAGGGCATGGGTCCCACGTACCATCTTCTGAAGAAATCTGAGCACAACCTATCCTTTCCTTTTTCCTATAGGGCTGGCTGGCCCTAGCCCACCTTTCTCAAAAGCTGCAGATTGCCCTGTTACACAGCTCTGTTCTGCTAAATCTCAATTCTTGGGACACTGTTTTATACAAATAAGATTGAGATTTGGGGATGGGGAAGCCTAATTGGCACCAGGCTATATTTATTGAAACTAATTCAACCAAAATGAACATGGGATCACAGTGAGTTGGCTAGTAAATTATCTATCATTGTGGCAACACTTTAAATAAAACTGACTTTTTAATTCCATTTAGTCTTTTTCCTGTCCAAAAAGACTAGACAATGGAGTTGATCTTTTCCATCTGTGATTTTATGATATCTGGCAGAAAGGGCTGTAATTCCCACGTACTCCTGAATATAACAACTAGAATTGGGACAGAATAAAATTGGAACATGACACAGCATATTGACATGAAAGCCAAATTGGAATAGCTTGTTTTGTCTCAAACAGATTGCATGAGAGAAGAGCCCAAAGTTGGCTGATTCATACAAAAGAAAAGGATCAACAATATTTATACAAGACAATTTAGAGGCGGCATCATTAAAGCTATGACTGTCGATGGACTACATTGGTTATAGGCTGAAGCACAGATGAAAACAGTATGAATGTTTCTGACAGCTACTAGCCAAATGAAATAATAGAAAATGAGGGTTGGAAGGGACCTGAGATCATCTAGTCCAACCCCCTGCTCAAAGCAGGAACAGCCCCAACTACATCATCCCAGCCAAGGCTCTGGCTAGCTGGGTCTTAAAAACCACTGAGGATGGAGATTTCACAATCTCTCTAGGTAACCTGTTGCAGTACTTTACTACTCTCCTACTGAGAAAGTTTTTCCTAACCTAAACTTCCCTTGCTGCACCTTGAGCCCATTGCTCCTTGTTCTGTCCCCTGCCACCACTGAGAACAGTTCAGCTCCATCTTCTTTCGAACCTCCCTCCAGGTAGCTGAAGGCTGCTATAAAATCCCCCTCAGTCTTCTCTTCTCCAGACTAAATGCTTACTGAAGAGGAAATTTTAGGAACAGAGAAAAAATTATAAAAAGGAGCCAAAATAGGTTGGTCTTAAGAGGCTTGTATAATCCTCTTTAAAAATGACTTTGGTTGACATGAAGTGTATTGAATGCAGTGTGTAAATGGTATTATTCTAGGTGTCCTTAAGGTAGAATTGATTCATAACATTTTAAAACCTTATGCAACCTAAGTTTCTATCAATTTTGGTATTAAGACTGGGAATAAATTAGGAAAGACAAGTCCTGAGATAATACATTCACATCCAGCAGTTTCACAAGGTCTCCAGTGACAGATGTTTCCTTCTGTGTACTGTAAATGTTTTGGTCTTGATTTTCAAGTACTTGATGAATTTGGTACTTGAAATTGCCCAAGTAACAGCCTGCTGAATGTTTTGGATGACTGAGTTTTATACCTGCATGCAGCAGGAGAGGTTGATATTGGATTCAAGCTGATGTAGTGTATTAGATTGAGATATTATGCAAGTAACCCACAAGTAGAATAAAAGGGGTTACTTAAGGCAGGTGCTTCAGCAAGCTGCTCAAACACATGTACAGTCCCCCCTGCTGAATCGAGGCCTAATGCACATATCTCTAGATCTTTAGGTAGGCTGTGTCCAGTGTAGTTTGCACTGCCTGTTTTAAATCTCTAGAAGAATAAGTTGCTCAGGACTTCTGTCTTGCTAGGAGACATGGGTGGTGGTAGCGGCATCAGATGTTAAGCCAATGGCTTGCCCAGTACAGATGATACCCTCTATTGACTTGACTCTGCTACTACAGTGCTTTAGTTGAAATGACACTACCACAAAGGCAAACAAAAGACCTAGATTTTAAGGAAGAAGTTTATTGGCTCAGGGATTCTAGGGGCACTTTGTGTCCTTCCAGACCAGTTTCATTTATATCATCCTACACTTGTGGTAGACTTTGGCAAAGACACATCACTGAATTTCAGGGGTCATGAGGTTGATGCTAAGCATTAATTTTGTCTCTAGTATATCATCCATACACCCTTCATCTAAAGAAGACTATAACAGACAGAGCCATCCCCAGGTTTTTCTATTGCTAAAGTACGGATGTACAGAAAAGCAAGTAGTCTAGGTTCCAGGGTCAGGATTTTCAAAGAGTGACTGGTGATTTAGATGCTTCCGGGTGCAGGTGCCAAGCTCAAGTCACTTCAAAGGAACTTGATTTTCAGAAAGTGTGGAGCACCCAAAGACTGAGTTCCTCATAGTGGCAATTACTCCCTCTTAAATAATTGTGTATAAGTATACTGGCAACTAAGTATATTGGCAATTAAGATGGTAAACTAAACTAGTCAGACAAGACTAATTCAAATAGCCTCCATCACAAGGAACCACTAGCTAGCAATGAAACAATACCCCACTGTCATCTCTCTCAGCTCAACACACCCCGGGTTCTCAAAAAGACTCCTTGCAGCCTGCCCTGAGGACTGATAGTTTGGGGCTAGTTTCAAACTCTTTGTGAGAATGCCCTGCTGACAGCCTTATCACTGTTATATGGATGATTTCTTGCTTGAAGAGGAGGGTAGAACTCCCCCAAGACCACTGCAAACACTTTGCTAGAACTGTACACATGATCACATCACTTCACAAGTGTATCCAGCCAAAGCTCAGTGTGCATTTATTTCGTAGTCAAGTGCACTCAGCAGGTCTGTCTTTTTAGCTGTTTTGGAATGATCTTTTAGAAATGGCTTACAGCAATGTATTAGCAACAATCCTCAGTCCTGACACTCTATTTAAGAGTGTGAAGGCTCACTAACGAGGCAAAAAGGCAGTGCCCATCTCACAGAATTAGGGAAGATGGACACATGCAGTGGCCAGAACAGACAGGTCTCAATCGCAACAGCAGCACAGTTTCCATTAACTGCAAAACACCCCATCATACTGCAGAAAGCAACCATCATGCAAAGCCACCTAAGGACAAGGCATGCTCTACTTAAATTAGTGCTATTCCTTTCCTTGTCATCTCTGGTGGGTCAGGCAAATTGCTGCAGCTCTCGTGGAATCCTCCCTGGAAGTGCATGAACAGGGTGAAGAGTGGGGAATTGCTACATACAAACAACACTGCCGTATGGCATGATGTTTATAGGATACAAGACAAAACACAAGGATGGAGACGCAACAGGATTTCCATCTCATTTCAGGAGCACAGATGCTCACCTGCTGCTGCAACTTTGAATCCCAATGTGAGCAGATCTACAACATTTCAAAACATTAAAAAGACAGCCTGACGCAGCTACCTGCTGGTTGCTAAGGTGCAGATTTTTTAGGAAATATAGGTCCCTAGCTCCAAATGAAATCAATGATCAATGCCTCTTCAAAACTGAGCTTAAGCGATTCCTCCTTCATCATCATAATGGATCTTGCACTCCTGTGTACTGCCAGGCTCGCTGTCCTGGGAATGCCTGGTATTGTGGAGGCAGCCTCTCCCTCATTACAGGTAATGGTTTTTTTGATCCAAGATATTTGTCCAAGCCTAGACTGCTCTTTGCCAAGAAAGCCAGCACCTGTTCATTACCTGATGGACAGCTTGCATTTTTCAGCAGACACCAGGAGCACTATAGAAAGCCACACTTAAGTGTGCTGGAGAGGAAGTGCTGCCACGTTCATCTCTCACAGTTGAATCGGTTTCTATGGAAATTGCTATTATTGAATAGTAATAATTAGCCAGTAAGATATCAGATTGTCCAAGCCATTAAAATACATGGCATCACAAGAGAAAGAAGGATCATAGTTTGTATTTTCTTTTGAATTTTCTAGCTTTGTAACCCAAAAAAAAAAAATCCTAGAGCCTCACTTAAGACCATTTGTTTTTAATGTATTTTCCAAGCAGCTGCTCTTACCTGGAAGAGCTGTGCAGCATACACTCAAAACAGGTGCAGCATACCACCACTAATGAGGTGCCTTGCAAGGACTTGAGGCCTAATCATTTTTACCAGGTTTTCTACAGCACCTGTGAGGAAGCAAACCTACCTCCACCATCACCACAGTCAGCCAAGATTGGTGAGTAATAAAATAAAATGAAGGTGGGTTCCTCAGTGGTGTAGGATTTGCAATTTTGACTGGTGTTCAGCCTATGGATGGATGCAGTTTATAAGCCCTAATGACTGCTCCACGGGCACATATATTTTTCACCAATATAAGCAGGTACTTAGACTACACAGCCCAGCTAGTTAGACTTGGCTTGTAGCTTTTCAGAACAAAAGGGCAAGGCAGGAATAGAGAGCGCTGTGAACATGGAAGAACTCTAGGGACAGAAGCCATTGAGCAATTCTCTTCTGTCATTGCTAAACCACCGGCAGGTCGTTAAAGGAGGAAGTTAGTCTCCTCAAGCTTCAGGTGCTGCCAAGTCAGCCTGCCTTACTGACACCTCCAAAGTGAGAAGGGACTGCCTACAGAGAAAGCAAGACAGACTGCCTACAAACTGTAGCCAGCTGCTCCTTTAAGTTGCTTATTCCAGGTTAATTCTTACCTCTTACCACCTACACTTCCTTCGCACTGGGCCACAGGGGAAGGAACTTGCTGCTTTTAGCTACTGCTCATAAAGCACAGGAACACAGTAATCCCCAGGCAGCAATGTTTCCTTAAAGCAGAAAGGGTTATCATCCATTCTAGGCTTTTATTGGACTTTAAAAACCATATTAAAACCTGCCTTGAGCAGGACGCTGGCACAGCGTGGCTTCATTGCTGAGGCAGGGTTCATTGTTCAACACCGACAGCTTTATTCCCCAAAGCCAAAAATAGAGGTTCAAGCTCCTAGGCAGACAATAAAACTGGATTACCCGGAAAGTGCATTTCCTGGAAAAAAGCATCTCGCTATGAGTTGTTGAAGCTTACTCCAGCCTGGTTCAGCTGGAGAAGCAGAAGTGGGGGCTGAATTATTAGCAGCAGTGTTCTTGCGTCCGTGTTGCACAGTATTACGCTGCCATTCTGGCTAAGCCAACACTATTAAACATCTTATGAAAAAGGTTCTGGTTGCTCATGTAAAGACACTGCTTGCAGTTTATTTAGGAATAAACATTTGGAGGGATGTTGCTTGCTACTAAAATATTTTTAAACAAATCTTGGGTAATGTACCATTAAAAAAATCATCAAAAATCAGAAAGACAGGCACAGTACAACTCTTTCCCTCCCCGCCCTCCCTCTCTACCTGCCACTGCCACTTGCACAGAAGCCCCCATACTGGTTCTGGGCTTAAAATCAAGCCAGATTACAGCAGGTCTGCAACTTTAAGATAAAAATTATGCCACCTGATGATTGAGGACTCAAAACCTTTATAAAAAAAGAAAAAAAAAAAATCGATAGCTATAAGCAGCAGGTTTGCTCACCTAGACTGGTTTTTTAAAGCAGCAAATTAGCCTTGATATTGGCGCATAAACAGGCAAAGAATATTTGAGCAATCCTAACATTTTATAAAAGATATAAAACCCTCTGGTACAACAGGAAGCAGCTCTGAGTAAAGTATTTATCAGAGAAGATCCCAATAAAAGAGTCGTAATAAGCAGTACTGAGGCAAAGAATCAGTTTGCAAAGTCAAAGGCAAAACTTCAGTTAATAACCACGCATTTCTTTCAATGATTTGCTTATTACCAAATTAGAAAGGCTATACTTCCAAATACTGATCGTTTGTTCTGCAGTTCATTCTGTGGCCCAAGGTCCACTAAAGCACAGGAGTTCTGCACATCAGCCAGGCCAGCTGGCCTCCATTTTCATCGGTGTTTTTGTTGCGTCACCATCCTAACCATTTTCAGTGCCATTTCCCCTTGATCAGCTGGTACCTAGCATAGAAAGACAATGCATATTAACTGCTTTGCAGAGGCAGGACTCTAGATAGTTTGTAATCATGCTACTATTTAGCTTGCTTTTTGGAGGACAGCCTTTCAGCATTTTACCCAATATGAAGGCTTGTAAATAGGTAAAGGTGGGGTAGCAAAGTCACAGCGACATTAAAGTGACTTGCCAAGGGTCCAACTGGGTCTGTGGCAAAGCCAGGAAGACTAAGCAGGAAAAGCAGAAAAAATATGCATACAACTGCCCTCATCATTTTCCTCTATTTTTTTAAATAAGCGTGTTACTTGCCATGTGTCCAGCCCTTAGAATCCAGTAGAAAGCCAAGTTCTCATAGGACTTATAGAAAGCAGCTGTCTCGGTGGATTCTGGGCATATGTACAGAGCCTTCCATTTCTGCTGGCTGAACTGCTCCAGCTTAGGCCATTTCAGCTTCCGGACCCACGCCTCTTGGCCTGACACAGGGACAGAAAAGAGTTATGCATATTATTTTAATCAAGGCAACACTGGAGATGTCCCCCTGTACTTGACAGTAGCATGCACAAAGCAAAGTTATTAGGAAATCTAATGAAAGATATCACATCTTCCCAAAGAACCTTGTCTGCCTATGATCTGGAGAGACAAATCCAGTTTGAGAACTGAAACTAAGCATCACAGAGATGCTTAATGGGATCTTCTAGACCGAGCAGTGAGTCTCATTGGGTAGAGTGGTTTTCTTTAATCTTTACTAATGTAGAGGAGCCCCTGGGAACCCCATAAGATTGGGCCCCTAATATAGTCCATGGCCCATTGTGACCTATTTATAAGAGGACTGGAAAAGGGCCAATGTGGTCCCCATTTTCAAAAAAGGGAGGAAGGAGAACCCAGGAAACTATAGGCCGGTTAGTCTCATCTCAGTCCTGGGGAAGCTCTTTGAGAAAATTATCCAGGAGCACATCTGCGAGGGACCAGCATGGGAGGTTATGCTTAGGGGCAACCAACATGGGTTCATTAGAGGCAGGTCCTGTCAGACCAACCTGGTGGCCTTCTACGACCAGGTCACCAAATGCTTGGATGCAGGGGTAGCAGTGGACATAGTCTTTCTGGACTTTAGGAAGACCTTTGACACTGTCTCTCACCCCATTCTCATTAAAAAAATTAGGCAACTGTGGTGTTGATGCCTACAGTCAGATGGGTCACTAGTTGGCTGGAGGGCCGCACCCAGAGAGTGGTGGTGAACGGGTCATTTTCGACCTGGAGGGATGTGGGCAATGGGGACCCCCAGGGCTTGGACCTTGGGCCCGCACTGTTCAACATCATCAGTGACTTGGACGAGGGGGTAAAAAGCACCTTGTACAAATTCGTAGATGACACTAAGATGTGGGGGGATGTGGGCACGATAGAAGGGAGGGACAGGCTACAACTAGATCTTGACAGGTTACAGGGGTGGGCAGATGAGAATAAGATGGGATTCAATACTGACAAGTGCAGGGTACTGCACCTGGGGAGGAAAAACCAGCACCATACCTACAGGCTGGGGAACTCCCTTTTCGCCAGCACAGAGGCAGAAAAGGATCTTGGAGTTGTTATTGATTCCAAGATGAACATGGGCCGCCCATGTGGGGATGTGGTCAGTTAGGCCAACTGTACCTTGTCATGCATTCACAGATGCATCATGAGCAGGTCCAAGGAGGTGATTCTCCCCCTCTGTGCAACATTGGTCAGGCTGCAGTTGGAGTACTGCATCCAGTTTTGGGTGCCGCACTTCAGGAGGGATGTGGACAACATGGGGAGGGTCCAGAGGAGGGCCACTCGCATGATCGGGGGCAGCAGGGCAGGCCCTACGAGGAGAGGCTCCGAGACCTGAACCTGTTCAGCCTGCACAAGAGAGGGCTGAGAGGGGATCTGGTGGCCATCTATAAACTTACTGGGGGACCAGCGAGGAATGGGAGAGTCCCTGTTCCCCCGACCACTACCAGGAGTAATTAGGAATAACAGCCACAAGTTGACTGAGGGTAGGTTCAGGCTAGACATCAGGAAGCACTAATTCACGGTCAGGGCGGCTAGGATCTGGAACCACCGTCCAAGGGAAGTGGTGCTCGCTCCTACCCTGGGGGTCTTCAAAAGGAGGCTACAGTCACCTCGCCAGGGTCATTTGACCCCAGCATCCTTTCCTGCCCATGGCAGGGGGTCGGACTTGATGATCTGCTCAGGTCCCTTCTGACCCTACCAACTATGAAACTATAAAACTTCTAAAAAGGTTACATGAATATGTCTCAAATAGTATACAATTAGAAGTTATAATCCCTATTCCATGATGATATCTTTGAACTTTAACATATATAAAGATAGTTTTAATTTTAAGATAAGTTTATTTTCTTTAAAAAAAGCATCTCAACCCCCCAAAAAATATCAAATCAAATAAAGAAAGATCTGATTTAAATTAAAAAATCATTTTTATTTTAAAAAAAGGTTGATTTTTTTTTCCACCCTGCATTCTGGTCTATGTGTAGATGCAGCATGGATGTGAACCTCAGGGAGATTCTGCAGCACAAGCAATTCCAGCTTATCTCTGTTTCCCCTGGTATTCCTGAATCCCTACTTCCTACACCCTGCAGGATGCTACCACAAGAATACTGACATCTCCTTCAGAGATGCAAAACATGCATCACATGACATTATTTCATGATTTCTTATAGTCATCTAACCAAGACCATCTGAGAAGACAAAGTCTGTATAAAAGGCTGGAGAGGATTATAGTTCGAGACAGCAAAGAGAAGCCAATTCTAGGACATTAAAAAGAAAAAAGCAGCTACCATCCCACCTAATCTCTGCCTTCTGATTTCTAGAGCAATTTATACTTTAAGAAGAGCAGTTCAATTTTAGCTCAAAATATAGCAAATTGGTGTGCCATACACTGCTAATCAGTTTTGACAGCCTAAATACCTAAAGATTTTGACAGTCTAGAGACTTATTGATTGCAGGGCTGTTCACTGAAGGAACTAAGAGAATTGGAGCATCTGAGCAGTTAGGGGCCAAGAGATCTAAAGGATAAAACCATCCATAATATAAGATGATGGTTTGCCCAGCCTTGCAGGGGACTATTTGAATGAAGGAGGAAAGATAAGAGAACAAGGCCTGGCACACTGGCAGCAGCCTATAATATTCCAGCAACACCCAGGGTGGAGAGCAAAAAACCACTTCATTGCACAACTGGCCAGACAATGCAACATGAGCAAGCCTTCTGAGCCACTGAGCTGCATGCAAGCTGACACCTGCTGTCTTGAGGCAGGTGCCCTCGTCTTTCAACACCATCCCCTTCATCTTAACTATCAGGCTCATCAAGTTACCGATTTCAATTGACGGGACCGAACACCATCAGATTAGATTTTGTTCAATGAAGAGTGAGATGTGGTCCCTGTCCGACAGAGATTGCTATCAAAACTCATTAGTAGAAGCAGAGCAGAAGGGAATTAAGTCACATGCACGAATTTCAAAGCTCTATTTGTTACTTGAACGTATAAAAGTGTATCGCCTTCCCCTGACTGCACCCCAGCCTGCACTTTGTGGAGCTTCCTATTGCTCATGATGAGAAATAGATCTGTGGTTGCTGATGTGTCACAACCAAGGAGCAGATTCTGAGCAGTCTCTCTCATGAGGAATGCAGCCCAACTGGAGGATGGTATAGGAGACAAACCCATCAGAATACCTCTCTGGCCTGGCTTGGGAGCTTGCTCAGCCCACAGCAGGAGGGCCAACAGCCTCTGCAGGCTACTGGTTTATAGGCTTTCCTATGGCACTGGTCTCTAATATCTGAGCACCTCACAATACTAATTACTTCATTCTTGTTCTGCTGTAGTGCTCAGAGTAGCCTGGAGGTGCCACTGTAAAGACACAGCAAACAAGATAGTCCTTGCTTACCCTGAGACACAGGGAAGACTGGGGACCCCTGGTTTTCACATGAAGGTGTAAGGGGAGGGCATGAAAAGCTGAAGCCAAAAGGTGAAGCGATTTGACCAGTCATGCTCCTTTGTTATGGGGGGGGGGAAGGAAAAAAATGGCACCTCAAATACCATGATTTAGCAAAAGTCATGTCAGAATAATACTCCCAGTGTGGTAGGCTTTAACCTAAAAAACTGAGAATTACTTAGGGATAATTAACCTTGCAAAGGTCTCTGTGGACTGGACAGCTTCAAGAGAAAGCTACTTAGGAGAAAAAGCCATAGCCACCTCAACTCACTTAGGACAACAGTCCCCTGCAGCACTCCTTTGTTCAAGAGACAGCAAGGGGAATATGCCTAGAGGTGTGGCAGGGATGGAAGAGAGACAGCAGCAGCTCCCACATCTCTGTGCAGATACTCTTGAGTGCAGGGATGCAGACACATTGGTGACACATCTTTGCTGCTAAGAGCAGAAAGTACCATGGCCATCAGGATGCTCCACCAAGACAGAGAACAGAGAGGCACTGGCCTCAGAGGACTGCTTTTCCCTTGGCGTACCACAGACAGGTATCTGTAGTCTTATGAAGCCTAATACCCAATTTCTTCTGGGGCAGAGCCCATCTGAACCCCAGCCAAAAAACGGTCCTTACCCATAGTGTCGACAATAAGATCCAGCTGCCCATTGTAGATGGTAACATTGACGTTGGCCACCAGCAGCTGGTCCACGATGTCAATAACAGGCTTCATGAAATCCCCAGCCATGTTCATGAACACTTCTTCTGACTGCGCTAATCATTTGGACCCGGACAGAGAAAACACATTGTAATCAACAGAGTTTGAAGGCTGAAGCAGAGCAGAGACTGGCCGGGTCCCAACACGACCCCGCGACCAGGAGCAGAACAACACACTAGTGTTTGCAACTGTACCGTGTCCCCTGATTGTTAGTTTCCAGCTCCCATTACAAGCCTAGCAGGTGCTGGCAGGCATTCAGCATCCTCCCTCCCATTCTCTTGCGGTGGATTTACACTCTCCGCCCCCACGCCCTCCCTGCACTGGTTTTCCGTGGAAGAGACTTGATGCGGGCTGTTTGGGCACCCAAGGAATGTCTCCACTACCCTGTTACCACCGCAGGAAGCACCTTAGGGAGATGTGACATGTTCATAGCACACACTAGGTGGAAGCAACATAGCTGTGTTAGCAAATATAACCCAAGAAGGCCAGGTGGGCTCCTGCTGCTCAGGTCTGAGGCAGACTATCTAGCTTGCTCCTGCGGCTATATGGCTGAGGGCAAGTGAAACTTGGGGGCAAACCTCTGGGCTTGGGCCTGCATGTAGGATGCCTGCCAAATAGTTTGGAAACATTTGAAGCCTCAGGTGGGGGTGGAGGATGTTTGCTGGTAGTAAGGCCACATATGGTTCTTGAATGACTCACAGATTTGGAATTGATTTGGCTTGGAACATGATTTTTTTAAAACTGAAAATAAGACTATCCCCCCACCAGGGTGTGCCCCTGGCTAGTTCACAGTGGGCTGAAGAAGACATCGGGACTGGACCTGACAGCATGTTTGCTCCCACAGGCTTCCCAGTGCCCTGTTGTGAAACCTCTTCCAGCAATCTGTCCTGGGAAGCCATAGACAGGGCCAGCTGCTTTTTGCAGACTATGATACTGCCCGTTACAAGCTGCTCACGAGGTCTATGCCAGACAGCAGATGATACCTCCCCACTTGACAGAGTCCGGAATGATTTTCAGCTTCTTTCGGATGGGCCCATTCATCAGGTCACTTAACTGGTCCTTGTGAAGGTGCTCAACATGGCGTTGGTAGAGCCTCACTGCAGAGAAAGAACAAGCTTTAGTCTGGCACAGACAATGCTCAATTCTAAAATGGCAGATGGGCATACATGGGATGCAATGAATACCATAGGACAGTGCTGCAATCATCTCCTGAGGCTCACTACATTTGGATCCGATGAGCTCTTTTTCTACTGAAACTGGAGCATCACAGAGGAAGCCTTGCTGACTTGGAAAAGATCAGCATTCTGACCCTGCTGTGAGCCGATTTATTTTATGGAAGAAAGAAACACACTATTTACTTCCTCTTTCTGCTAAGGCAGACTGCTGCTCTCAGAAGGTTTCCTGGGGGCTCTGCTTTCACTATTACACATAGACACAATTGCTTCTTTTCACCAGACCTGTTAGTTTGAAGCTGCAACAACTGGTTATACTTTTGGAAATCAACAGTGCTGTTCACTTCCCTTATGAGCCTCTGAAAGCCAATAGAGAGGCAGGAAGAGGTGAAAAGCAACGTGTGTTAATTTTCACGTCAATGTTGACAGGACCTGAAGGAGGACTGTGGAAGTCAAGTGTCTCACTGGATAATAGCTGAGAGGAAGACTATTTTCATTCTCCTGCTAAAAGAGAGAAGTGTAAGTGTTTGGAAGAAGCTGTTTAGAGGTTGTGAAATTTCACAGCAGTGATATTTATTGCTCATCATGACTAATCCCAAGATCTGTTTTAATGGAAGCACGATCCATGAAATGGCTGTCCTAATATCTACGCTCCTGCCCTGTCTACATATGAGGCCCAGCAGGTCCAGGTTCTTGAGCAAGTGTGTCAGGCATCTGCTTCAACGCCTCATTTTCAGAATGTGATTGACAGACATTTCCTGCTCACTCTGGTCACAGGTGTGGGTTCCCAGCACCTCTGAAACTCAGGTCCTTGGAAGCTTAACTGTGTAAACTTGCTTGCCTCAACTTACTAAGATAGATGGCTTCATGTTCTGGTTCCTTGAGAGTGGGAGCCCGCTTGGTCAGGATGTTATAGAAGTTCACACCGTCTGTGTTCTACAAAACCAAGAGAATAGCTTGTTTTGCAAAAGGAGGATCAGGATGGATCTTCAATTCCAGTAGTTTAAGAAAAGAAAAATGCTTCTGACATAGGAGGCTCCAGCTTTCCTCCCAGATCAGGAATTAATGCACTCTATTTAAAAGAGACTCGTTGCTGGCTCCATCTTGAGGAAGACCTTTTGTGAAATGATTTCTGGCCCCTTGTTCCCTTAATTTCCTGAGTTCTGGAAGGGGTTTTGGCAGTTGCCAACATTCACACCCAACTCGGGGTACTTATGCACACACGTATGTGCTGGTATGCAAGTCCTGCTACAGATATTCTTTCTTGACCAATAGGGCTGTGAATCTACAAGGACAGCATTATTCCACCTATATCAGCTACAGCCAAAGACCTCAACAACACGGACCTCTGAGATTTATTCTTCTGCTAGGCCATCCCCAAAGCATGAGACTGCTCACTCTATTTCCTCTTATCACAGCAGCTTTACACATTGGTAAAGCCTTGGCTGTGCCTTCAGCTACACATTGCAGATGAATTACAGTGGCTGTATTAGCTTAAAAAGAACAGTAAAAGGTTCCACAAGAGTGCGAGAGTAAGGAAGTGAAACCAGCTACAAAATAAGCACAAAAGAAGCAGTTTTTGGCCGGGTGTTTTAGGCTCAGTGGCAATGTGCTACTTGCAGAAGGACATGACTAATTTAAACAGCATTTGAGTCTTATAGCTGAAATTAAAGGGGCTCTTCGCATGCATGAAGTTAAGGACACATTTCAGAGCTTTACCCAGTCAGAACTTTAATGCAGCCCTATCTGACATGCACTTGGGCCTCATTTTCTATTGCATCCTGTAGCCATTCAGGCCAGTGCAAAGCAAGTGCAAAAATGCTTCCAGGTTGGCACAGCAGAAACTTTATGAGAGATAGCCTCCTACCTGTTCAATTAACTCTTCAGTCTTACTCCAGAGTTGAGTTGCTAGTGCATAATCCTTTTTATTCACTGCATCCATGACTTCTTTGGCAGCAGCAGTGACTTCTGTGAGGCCCTTATCATCAAGAAGAGACTGGAATGCAAACAGGAAGAACCACTGACTTAAAATTTATGCTATGGACAATTACATTGCCAGGTTAATTTATTACATGGTTTTTATGCCAGCTGAATGTTCAAGTTGATGTCAGAGTTCACTCTTGGATTTAAATTGTATGGGCATAAGAAGTTCTTGTGCAAAGCCTAAAAGCTAGAACAGTTATTGCAAACAGAAAAGCTTGGGTAGGTACTTACAGTGCTGTAAAGGTAAGGTCCCCAGGAGAGTACCGAATCTGGAGGAAAAAAACGGATTTCAGTCATCTCTAATTAAAATTTCCTGCCAAAATGTAGCAGGAATAATAATGACAGGAGCAGATGGAGGCAAAGATGAAGTACTCAGGAAAGAGGCACTGTCAGATGAAATTTAGCTCAAAGTTTAGGTGCTGCAGAAAAGGCTGAGTACAAAGGCAGAAGACCAATACCACCACCACGATGCTAGCTAATGGAAGCTTTCTAAAGCAACAAACAGACATTTTAATCCCAAACTTTGCAGCACTATGCTTAGGTATGAGAACTTAGACAAAATTGGACGAGTTAGCATTCAAAGTCAAGGCATACCTACTTGCAAACTTTACAAGAGGAAAGAAAAAAAAAGTCAGATTTTTGACGATCAATACTATAGTCATCCCTGGCTGGGATGCAATGTTTAGTGTGACCTGATAGGTCCCATGCTTCCAGCTTCCCACAGCCAAGGTGAGACAATGTCATGGGCCTGTTGTATAAATCTCACTGCAGGATTGGAAGTGGAAGTCCTTTGACTTGGTCTTTCCTCTCTCCCTCTTCCTCCCCAAGGGCAAAGTTACCCCAGCTGTTCAGCTTTCACCTGGTGGATTCTCATTTTAATGGTAAATGGGAAACAACTGTTTTAAAAAAGACAGGCACTGCTGAAATTTAGAAACACGGATTCTCCTGATACACATCTCCCCATCTGGAGAGGCTGGAAAGCTGGCATTTTCCCACCTGCCATTTTGTTTTTAAATGCACTTAGTTGCCAGACTCTTCAAGAATGAACAGAGCTCTAGTACCCAGCTGCTGAGCACCAGCTGCAGTGGAAGAGGGGTCCTTCAGCCTGCAGAGAAAGTCAGGGCTGAGAAGTCTCAGACTGGGCATCTTAAGATAGAGAAGCTGCAAGTCAGTGGTTCTCAGATCATCAAGAATACCAGATCACAGCAGGCAGAGGCCAGGTCTCCTCCACTGCACCATCATTTGGGAATCAGTTGTGGCCTTGTGAATCATTGTGATTTCACTTTAGCTGAAGCACTCTTGTATCAAAGAGATTTAGGGGCACCCTCTGCCATCTGCTTATGTGCTGCTTATGTGAACGCATGCGTGCTTGTTACTACTACAGAAATGTGAAATTATGACAGTTACTAAAAGACAGTCAGTTTGCATCACAGCTCCCTGGAATATCAACACAGCTTTACTAAGATCTGTTTTTTTGCAGTCATTTAAAGCAGGGACAGACCATATATACCCATAGATATAGGAGGTCATCCAACTCTATCAACCTACCTAAGGGAGAAATCCAGGAATCCCCCAGGGCAGCACCACTGAAATTGCACTTTATGCTTCCAGCATGAATTGCCTTTAGAAACGCATGAAAGAAAGAGGAATTAGTACACACACAGGTGAGTTACGGAAAGGTGCTAAGCACCAGATCCTAAGTAGTAGAGAGAGATTTCCAAATGCAAAAATAAGTGGAAGTGTCCTGGTGTTACAAGAAACATCCTCTCCTCCTCCCACATTTTAACTAAGTTCAAGGGACAACTTCAGAAATGAAGGATGACGAAAGTCTATTTGCAGCCCAGATGACTGACAGTACATCCCAGCTCCTAGAAGAGCACACTCTGCTTCTGGTTTGGCTATGCTGGATATGGAGGAAGGAAAGGGAAGGAAATGCTCACATAGCAATTTGTGTTTCTGCATGCACTATATACACAAGTGCCAGTTCAGGGCACTCGGTATGCTTTACAAAGCTCGCTAAATCTTTGGAGTAGTTCGAATCTGTGAGAATAATCTGACAATTTCAACAATCTCCACAGGCATTCCTAGTGTGGTTTGAATACACTGTCCCTTGGGAAGGGCAAGATACCCGTTTGTTAAATTATCCAATTCAGGAAACAGATTTGGGGTTACAAAATTTGCAGGACAGAGTCCAAGGGTGGGGATGAAATGCTCAACTCCCATTGACTTCCAAAGGGAACTAAACACCTAGTAGCTCTTCATGCCTCTGAACTCCCCCCACCCATCCCCCATCTCCCAGAAGACTACCTGGATTCTGCATGTGCCTTGACTGCTAGGGTACCAAGTTACTTTATGGTTAATCATGTCTTAGATGGACTAAGAGCTTTCTCTCTGACAGTAAATGAAGGGGGGAAAAGGCTTCTTACAACAGCAAATCAAAGGTGCTGCTCAAAAAAAGCCAGCTCAAATCCAGCATTAGACTTTTTATAAAACAGTGACACTTTGGTAGACATGTGGGCAAAGTGGCATCTTACAGAGGCAAGGATACACTTTACCTTATGCAGCTCTAAGGCAATGGCAGCTGTCATTTTGCCTCCATATGATTCTGAGAAGATGTAGAATGGAAGAGTCTGAAGGGAGAAGCCACACAGCAAGGATGTTAGGCACCAAGCACAACAAATGTCCTACCCACCTTCTGCCACCCACAAAACCCAAACCTCAGGTGGTCGTCTCCCAAAGCACTGAATATCTGGAGTCATGGAATGTGACTATTGGAGGAACTGCTTTTCATTTTTGTAACCAGGAAGGCTCTGATCTGATGAGCCTATTGGATAAGGCAGGATATAAATCAAATAAACAATCAATCAATAAATAATCTATGCCCAGAGTCCATATGGACACAGGAATCTGCCCTCCTGGACATACAGCTGGAGCCAAAGACAGCAACAGAAATAAATACAGCTGCAATGGCTGTCACAAACAACTAATTTCACTTTTACATTTGTGGAGGGGAAGGGGGGTCACTAATTATGCCTGCAACTCCTCCCATCACACTGCGGCAAATGCTCTCTCTTTGAAACCTGGATTGACACTGCACTCTCTTCTAATGCTATTAAACCAAAGTTAGAAGTCCCTTACCTGGAATTCTGTCTTATTCTTGAAGAATTCTTTAAGAAGCACCAGCATATCAGAAGCGACAGTGGCGACATCTTTTGCAAATGCACTGCTGTCGTTTGCATAACTGAATCCAGAGCCAACAGGGTTATCGACAAACAGTATGCTGGCTGCCTGCAACTACAGCAGCCGAGAAAGAGGATTGTAATGCAGTCTCATTTCAGTTGCCCCCTCCCAGCAGAACCTCAAGGGTGCTCTCACAAATTTGCAGATGTCCAGACACAGCTTATGTCTCTTGTATACAGTAAAGCCATGGACTGAAATAATATCTTTCCATGTTTCCCTTAATTTTAGGCCTAGATGTTTGCAACAGATAAATCATCCAACCACAATTTCTCCACCAAAACCAATGAATCTGCCTATGCTGAAGCTCTCAATTGGGTTTTCCTGGCAGCTGTTTTTCAAGCTGCAGCATTTTAGGGGTGCAGCATTTAAAGCCAAACAAGTAAGTACTGCAAACACTTGAGGAAAGATGATTCAAGCAGGTTTGTGGACTTGAGCACAACTAAAAGAAAGATTCTGCTCCTAGGGATGGCTGAATTTAAGATGAACGTATTTCTTGGGGTGTTTTTGTCTTGGTCAGTTATTTGTCCAGGAAAGTAAGGATCATATCTATGAGTCAATAAATAAAAAGCTGAGATTATCCCAATCATAAGCTTTCCATCATACCCAGGTTGTGTTTCTTGGTTTCAGTTCGGTATTTAAGGGACCAATTTCTTCAAAGTTCCCAAATCCACAGCCTGAAGCTCCTGGACCTCCCTATGGAGTGAAAAGAACAAGGAAGTTAAAATCTGGAGAAATCAGGGTAAACTAATGGAATATGGTCACTCAACAGGAATAGTTTCTGCACTGCATGCTAAAATACAAAGTCCCCTCTCCACCCATCTCCCTTAATTATATACACGTGCTATTTGTGAAGGGAATCCAGAAAGGGAATCGGTCACCAATTAATGAAAACACAAGAGGAACCTTCTACTTTGCAGACAGAGCTCTGAAGCTTTTGTTTCCATCCAGAGAAAGTCACTTCTACACAGGATGGTGTGGAAGAGTCAGCTACCAAACCGGTGCACTGAGAATAGTTAGTTCTCAACATGCTCAGCATTCCCCACTCCGTATAAAAAGTTCTCTCAGCCTCTAATCCTCTGTATCCAAGGTCTCCAAACCTTACTTTCACAATATAAGCTTCTCAGGGCAAGAGCCATCATTTCATTTTGCAGTGTCTCGCACAGAAGGCACTATCACACTACAAAAATACTTCTGCTGTTGCTGCAATATAATTTTGGTGAGCAGGTGCAAGCATCCCAGTCACTCACATATTTGCATAACATTTTAATTATTTTTTCCTAACCTAAAAGCCTGGCTCATTAGCCAGGAACCAGACACAGAAAACTACTTGGAAAATGCAGAATGCTACTTCTGAATTACCAGAAGGTGATGGCTGATCAGTAGATTTACGTGTGCAAAAATGAAAATAAGATGCCTTTGAAAGCATCTTCCACAACCACTTACCTGCAGCCACATGATGAGAGGTAGTTCTGTGAAGTTTTTGGTAGGGTTGCTTGCATAGTACAACCACCAGAACATGTGTGCATTATTTCTAACTTGTACATATCCCCATGCTTCTTTGGATTCTGATTGTTTTAAAATGGCACCTAAAAGAAAAAGAAAAAATATTCAGCTAAGCCATATAAAACATCTGGTATGGCTTTAACTAAGATGTATTACAACGTTAATTCTGGGTGCAGTAATTACAAAAAAAAGGTTTTGGCACTGAATAAATATCTAGGGTCAGACTATATTCAAAACAATTTTGAGATCATTAGGTCTTCATGAATTAAATGAGGCATGTGCTTACCTGTTTGATCATGTAACTGTGACCTATGCCTTGTCCTATTGCTGGAGTAAATGTTTCTAGTGAGGACGTGTGGTTAGCACTTCTGAAGACCAGGATGAAATCCCAGCTCTGCTGAAGGCAGTGGCACAACCCCCATTCTATTCAGTAGGGCCAGGATTTAACTCAAAAGGCCTACCAGTTTGGTCTCACTCCCTCTAACAAGACCAACTCATGTTGAGATCCCCAAATATGATAATTTTAGGGTAGATGGGCTGTAAGAAAAGCCAAATGACAATGCACTAAGGACCTCACCTGAAGCCCAGTGAAACCAGTATAAGGACTGAATCACCCATGGTGTAGAAACTGAGATTCATTCCAAGGATCAGACCCCTAATGTCACAGTCCCTTACCTCTAACACAGAAATAAGCACTGAGGAAGGCTCCCCAACTGAGAAACAGCATTGGAGAGACCATGGAGGACAGTACTTGGAAAAATACCACCTATTTTAGACTAAATAGAGATTTCTGGGGGAAGATATTTTTGCTGCAAAGAGCAGCAGTAACTGTGGCCTTGAACCAGCCTACATTCCACTGGCAGCGTTATCTATCCAGGACGTCTGGAAAACCTTGCAAGCAGAGGAAGGGTTACTTGGAGGCAGTCTCTGGAATGTTCTTATATACATCATTAGTTTAGCTGCATCGTCTTTAGCTCTCACGTGGCTCACAGACATTTTTCAGGACACATTACAGCATCAAGACTTTCCATTTCTCCTTACTGCCAAAAACGGATGCAGTTCAGTTTATCCCATCCCATGGTCACAAAAATAAAGCTACCCCCAACATCTGCATTACACCATCATTGGCAGACTTTTCGGACTGGCATGCTCCTGCCTCAAAAATACAATATCTTATGCTCAGTAGAAGGCAACTACAGAATCACCGCTTTCCAATCCAGGAGCAACCTCCAACACACACCAGTACCAGGACAGTCAGCCCAGAACACCTGATCCAGCAATCAGATCCATAACCTTCTCCTGCAAACTGCAGGCAGGTGGGTACAGGATCTACCTCAGGGAGTTGGTGTCAGTCCGCTGCACTCCAGGGGAACCTTATTGCCTAGGATCAAGAAGTTTGGGTCATGGATGCTGAAACATCCAGGAGCAACAGAGCCCAGACCAGAAGATGGTGGCAGGGTGGAAATTTAACAAGCTAAAACACCTCCCATAAAACTATTAACCTATTTTGAGGAATAAATGTGGTCCTAAACCCAAATCATCTATTGGTTTTCAAGCAGAATTCTTTGCAATTAATCCTGCAGCTGCTTCAGATCAACCTTGGTGCATCTGGAAGGTGTATTTGTAGCTAATTAGCTGGACTCCTCCCCTCCACTTCTGAAAGCAGAATTGCAGTCTGGACCCTTCATTTTCACCAGCCTTTAGCTTATTTAGATGCCTCGGTGTTGGCCTGTCCGTTGGCTTACAGCGACTCAGAGCAGTTGAAACAAGGCACTGCCATTTCACAGCTCGTGAGCCACCACCTCTGCGGCCCCACCGTAGACCTATGGGCTCAGACAGGTCACTAGTGTCGCAACTCACAACAACTGTGAGACACTAAAGCTAAAGCCACTTGTGTAAGGAGATGATAGCTGGCATGAGACAACAACATTGCCCCACCACTTATCTTATCAACAGCCTCCACAGCTCCACGAGGAGCTCACAAAGCTGAAATCAGTCTCTTATTCCCAGTTCCTCATTCTCAGTTCCTGGTTCCTTTTTCAAATCTGATCTTCACACAATTAAAAGCTGTCAGCAATGAATTAGACAGGCTGAAGAGTTTAAATTTTGTCAAAAATGTATCTTTACTAATAAAAATAGAAAATAATACCATGCAGCAAGTACCTAGGGCCCTGAAGAGAGAGCTGAGATGAGG